AAAACTAAGAAGGACAACAGAGTGGAGGACATTTGGACTCTACAGAATTAGCAGATAAAAAACACACGCATTTCTGCCAAAAAGAGGCAGACTTGTCTGAGACTAGAAACCATTCCCCTAGGGCTGAGGGACCTCTGGAAGCCTGCCCCAGCAGAGAACAATATGGACAAGTGAACGGTGCTTCACAAAGGACAGGCGATTGGAAAAGTCCCAGAGAGCGATGAGGAGGGTCTCTCTAGGGCAAGGATAATGGGACAGGAGATTAGAGGGCAGAATGGAGAAAAGTGAAGAAAGAAAAATCTAAAAATAAAGTCCTTTAATTTATGACATTTATACAGAACAAGAAACTGATGTATGATATATATTAATCTTCTATTTATGGAAATAGTTCATACTAATAACACTGCCAAAAACCATATTAAGCCCTGGCTGGTGTGCTCAGTGGTCAGAGCGTCAGTCCATGCACAGAGGGGTCTGGATTTCGATTCCCAGTCACGGGCACGTACCTGGATTGCAGGTTTGATCCCTGGCCCCAGTTGGGGTACATGCGGGAGGCAACCAATCAATGTGTCTCTCTCACATTGATGTTTCTCTCTCTTCCTCTCTCTCCCTCTCTTCAACTCTCTCTCTAAAAAACAAAAACAAAACACAAAACCCTAATAAAATATCTCCCTAAAAGGGTTGGGAGATAACTAGAATAAACAACTGAATAAGCCAAGACCACACCTCTGATAATCTGTGCACCTTTTAAAACTCATTTTCTTATTGACAGCATTGTTAAGTAACTATATTTGAAATTTTTTATAAGATTCTAAGTCATTTCATTTCTTTTTTTTCAATTAAAAAAAATTTTTTTGTCCTCACTTGAGGATATTTTTTCCATTGCTTTTGGTGGGGGGCCAGAAATGCTAATGTGAGAGACAGACATTGACTGGTTGCCTCCCCCATGTGCCCCAACTGGGGCCGGGGATCAAACCTGCAACTGAGCTACGTGCCCTTGGCCGGAATCGAATCCGGAACCCTTCATTCCGTAATCCGACACTCTAACCACTGAGCCAAACCATTTCATTTCTTTAAAAAAAAAAATCAAAAGCCCTACCTGATATTAGAGGTAACTCCCTTTCCAACTATATAGCCTAGAATGAGAGGTCCCATATATTATGCACTGTACTAGAAACATACCAAGATTTGACACTTAATAAGTTTTAGGAACACATTCCCAACAAAGTGAAATACCAAGGAATCTGTTTAAAATTGAACTAAGCTGATTTTATAAAAATGCTAAAGCCCAAATGTTCAAATGGAATCTTAATGCCACAAAGTCTGTGGTGATAACTGAAGTCTCTCTTAGAATATTTGACTTTCCAAAGTCCTCATAATCTGACCTAATTGAGCTTTACCACTTTTAATGAGAAACACTAATACTATCCTGTAAGAGTTCCCTCACCAAGGCAAAGATAAAGTGTTATCTTCAGTGGTTTAATTCATTTCCATATCACCTCACCAAAGAGAGCTTTCTTAAATAAATACAAAGAAGTCATGCTGAGAAGCCAGTATGGTAATACCCAATTTGAATTCTAGACTATCAGAAGATGTGCAATTACATTACAGAAAGGAAAGGAGCCCTTCCATTTTAACTGGCATTGTACTCCTCCTGGCAGTCATGCATACGAATGATGATGTTAAATCTAATTAGACACAGATTTACTATTTTCCCTACTGCTTTCCCATATTGCTAATATTATAAATAGTATGTGCTTTAAAAACTGTAATAGGCTCATTGCAGCTACCAAATTTAAAAAGCCAGATATCTATTTGTTGGGGGAAAACTGCTCCTAAGCATCCAAGGAACAGGAAGAGATACTTTTACTGTTAAAAAAAAGTTACTACTGTGGACCAGTATACAGCCGAGAGAGGTAAAGAGGTCTGGAGTCAGACTGTGTGTTAGAATCCTGGCTTCACCACTCACCAGCTCTGTAAGTGACCTTGGACAAATTACTTAGGCTTTGAGCCTCGGTTTTTCATCTGTAAAGTAAGGATAATCATCTATAGCCCTCAGTTATTGTGGTAAGGAGATAACAAATATAAAGCACTTGGAATAGCATTAGCATTTAACCCTTAAGAAATGTTATTATTTTCACTATTTTTTATTTTCTTTTTTTACAGTTAAATGAAACTCCTCAGCTAAAGTAACTAGAATAACAGCTTCTTTGAAACACATCAGTTGACTAAATTGTAACTGAGATTACTCTCTCTCTGTACAGTTGCTATTTATATCATAAATGTCTTCCCACAATGCAAACTCTACAGACTTCTAGCACAGCAACAAACGTAATCTGTCTTTCAAATATATTAGAAAAAGTTCCATATACAAGGAACTACAGTACAACCAACACAGATCCAAGTTCAGCAGCTGAAGCAAGAAAATCATTAGCATATTATGGTTTTAGAGTAAAAAACTCAAAATATTTTCTACAGTACAAGAAATGTTCACATTGACTATTTGACATTTTGGACTTCTCTGAGAATCTGATAAAAATTATAGACCCTGACCCTAGAAAAACATGTGGATACATACAACTGTTCGATTTCAGGGGATTAGTGGTATACTTTCCCCACACTCATTCATGGACCCAGGTTAAGAACCTCTATTACATTTACTTAGCAAGTTTACATGGTTTTAAACTAGTTACCACTTGCAACCTCAAAGGGCAGTATATTATGATGTGGTTTTTATTAAACATTTTTTAAGGAGAAATGCTATTATACTATACAATACAAATGATATAGCACAGTGTGGCCAAAATGACAACCTGGTTTTCACTTATTTTTGTGTGTTTTTTAAGAACTAGATTATAATTACTCAATACAACTGATCTCCAAATTTCATCAAGTAAAAATTCTAGGACACATTTTCTCAGCTTTCCTTGTTATATAGGATGGTGCCAACTGGACAATTTAAAGATCAGCATTACAAAAAGAGCAGTAACAATTGCATGCTAAGCAATAAATTACACTGTTCTCAATCCTAGACACTTTCAGACATAAATTTTCCCTTAGACTAAAAATAATTCAGTACAGATGCCATAAGAAAAAATATGATAAGGTTAGCAAGAAATGGTGGGCAAGGTGAAAGAGGACAGGAAAGGGACTGTGGAAAATCTGTAGCAACTCCTCTAATCACAGGTAACAATATCCCCTGGATCACAAAGTTATTGAAACATTTTATTAAATTGCCTAAAGCTGCCTGAATTAGTCCATATACCTGATCATTATAAAACCTTAATATACATTATGGTAATATACATATTTTAAAAACAAAGACATTCAAATCCATCAAGAAATGGCTCCATATTCCCTTGAGGAATCTCCTGAAGGTATTAGCTTTTATAACAATATTTAATGAGAAACAAAAGTGCTTAGTGTAGCTGTGTGGGACACAGGAATTAGGATTTGAGTCATTTGCTGTATTTTTTTTTAAACAAATGTTATTAAAAAGAAAATTTCAAAGGTTTACTTCATTTTTTATGCCCACATTTTCTCACAAAGAACTGGGAGTTGGTTATACAAGCACAAATACCACCAAAAGGGTAAAATAAATGTTGAGGAAAACTAATAAAATAAAAATATAGTTAAGATATAAATGCTAGGCCCGGACAGCATGGCTCAGCGGTTGAGCATCGACCTATGATCCAGGAGCTCACGGTTCAATTCTGTCGGCACATGTCCCAGTTGCGGGCTCGATCCCCAGCGGGGGCGTGCAGGAGGCAGCCAATCAATGACTCTCTCATCATTGATGTTTCTCTCTTTCACTCCCTCTCCCTTCCTCTCTCTGAAATCAATAAAGATAAATTTTAAAATATATATATATAAATGCTAGGGTTCAGTTAGTCCATGGGAAGGCAAACTACCCAGTTTCTAGAGCTGGGTTCCTATCAGCTTCAAGCACTGAAGGAAGCAGGGTCTAACTTAAAGGCTGGCAGTATCCAAAGAGAAAAGGCACGCCATCAGGAGCACAGCTTTTCCTAGCACTTCTGTTTCCCTCTCTTCTAAAAATGTAGTTAACATTTACAACCACCCTTTCTATCAACAGTGGTTAATGGTTTACAAGATGTAAAGTTAACTGATATAAATGTATCCACTCACCCAAAGGACAGACAACAAGCATTAAAACTGGAGGGCCTGGATTATTATAAACAATTTGCCGTTGCTCTACTTTGGTTTAGTTTGGGCAGCAATTTCAGTAGCTTTGAAACAAAACAAAGAAAAGTCCTACTCAACCAAAGAGCAGGAGTGTAGCAGTAACGTAAGGAGAAATCTGCCATATATGTATAAATACTACAGAAATAACATAAGGCCAGAGAAACCAAAGAGTGTGAGAAACTTTAAAAATAAACATTCACTTTCAATCTCTGAGAAGTAGGCAATAATAAATGACTTCAAATTGAAATAGGCAGGACTTAGGTCACATATTACAACAATTCCAGGAATGCATAGACTATCAGTATTAAAATAATTAGTCTATAAGTTCTTCTCTAAAAATAATAAGAGGAAAATATCAATTATACCTCAACAAAGCTGAAACTAAAGATAAATAATAAATAATAAAAAGAGAAAAATATACAGTGGCCTTTCTTAGATTTTTAAATATATATATGATCCTGCCTTGAAGAAAGCAGATTAAAGTTATCTATCCTGATCCCTTCAAGCGCTCACTGGTTAGCAGGTTAACAATTTGAGTTTAAAAAACAAATCACATAATCACCATGTTAAATTCTTAGTCAACCAACGTGGAAGCCCTCAATACATTATAATACAATATAGAACACTTTATATTTTAAGACAATATATACATTTTAAAATATAAAAACCTGCTCTAAGGCAAAAAATTTGATTTTATGAAACTTTACTCAAAACTTTCGTCCATATAAAATTTAACTGAAACTACACAAGTCAAATGGGCAATATTTAGAATATATTAACATTCTCTCTTCACTTACCTGGTCTTTCTCATGGGGTAGGAGGCTGACAGGGGGAAGCGAGGATGGGAAAGCACTGGGGTATTTGGGAGCCCCTTTGCCATCTGAGCTTCCATAGTTGACCCTGTACTGCGGTCCGTCTTTCAGTAGCCTCCCATTGTTCACTGCGCGTTTGGCCCCCAGTCGCAGCCGCTGCTGAAAGGCTGGGTTGGTGGTGGTGCTTGAGAGATCACTTTGATTTCGGAGATACTTCTCTATGTTCTTCAGGGAGGAGCCATTTGGCTCCTCGAGTCCTTCAATTGCTCTCCTTAAAAGTCTATTCCAATCCACATTGCGGAGATCATTATATGTTCCTCTAGACCCCTTGGTTGACTTAGGAAAAGTGCCTGGTTTAACTGATGAGAAGCGCCCAGGGTTGTCTGGGTCCTTATAGGAGGCAAGGCCTTTGTTGGTGACTTTGAGAACTGAGCCATCCTGAACACTGAGCTCCAGCTGTTCAGAGACTGTCTTCTTATCCAACCCATGGGAAGTACTGACTGCATGGCAGATTCTCTCTTCAGAGGGCCTTTGCTTCTGCTTTTTTATTTTCTGTATAGCTTCAAGAATCCACTCTGTATAAAGTGGGTTTGCAAGTTTTACCATGGTTGACAAATGACTTCTTCAATACAAAAGTTACCCATAGAGGTTCTCCTTGTATTTAACAGAACTTGCACATTTAAAAGTCATTTACAATTCAACAAATGGGCAGAGTATTCCAGAACATATTAAGCAACATCTCGCAAACATCCATCCTTATGAGATTAAAGAAGACAGACAGGCAGTGTTGATAGTTGTCTTATTTGACCAGCCGGAAAGGCTGCATTCAGGCGAAGAACATCTTTCAGTGGGAAATCAAGACCCTGAAGGAAAAAAGGCGGGGAAGGCTCTTAATAAAGGAGCTTCTAAAAATAAATTACAACACTCTTCAGTACTACTTTTCTGGATGCAGAACGACCCCAAAAGTAATGACAGGAAAGGATTATGTAACAATGTCTCAGTGACTATATTTTCCAATCAGAAATTGGGTCTCAGTCTGAGAAATAACTTTTTTTAAGACTTTTCACTTATTATTTATATGAGGTCACTTAGGGGGCATTTAAGAGATCACATTTAAGTTATATATTTAATAGATAAGCTTTATTGAAAGTAATAAAATGACTTGAAAGTGGTTCAAGATATATGTCTATCATAAACATAAAATCAACATCAAAGAATAAATCTATGATGCAAAAAACCTGATGAAGTACACTGAACTTCAAGAAATCTTAGACTTAAAAAAAAGGCAATAATCTTGATTCTTTTATTTCAGCTAGATATTACATTTCTCAAACCTCACACGTAAGAAAATTTCCCATCTAGCCACTTGTATAGAATCATATCCTTTCATCCCTTTGAAAAGGGCGACACTCTCTAACCCACAGGTTGGAAAACCGAAATGAATACAGCAACCTAACTATCTTTACCTTTTTGAAACTGTTCAGTACAAGGAAGGATCATACAAATTTGATTCCAGGTAGAGAGTGGTATTGCTGAGATCTTCCTGGACCTCTCATCTGGTATTAAGTACACCTGCAAAGAGCACCTGGCCTAGGAGCTGAGTCAAATCTGGGCTCTAATCTTGCTTCTGCACTGATTATATCCCCATCTCAACTCTTTAAAGTTTAAGACTGTGCTGACATATAACTTGTCATTTAATCTCCAGGACAACTCTGGGTAAACTGAGGCTGAGGGGAAGGAAGATGGAACTCACTCAAGGTAACAGTCAATAGTAGACTTAAGGCTCAAATGCCATTATTCTAATATCTAAGTCCAACACTACCTTCACCTGAGCCACAATTGCCTGCTCTAGGTAGTTCTGCCTCTGCAATCAGACTAATGGTATGAATGCCAGCTCTACCAATGTCTAGCAGAGAAACCCTGGGTAAGTGATTTAAGTTTCAGTCACTTTATCTGTAGGGCAATAATAATATATCCCTCACAGAATTGTTGAGAGAATTAAGTGAACACAGTATCTAGTATTCAATATACAGTCATAGCTTCCATCAAATGTGATGTCTACACATTGAAAAATGTCTCATAAAATACAAAATTATCTCTGGATATTTATTCAGATTTAATGTACCTAAAAAAAGGAAATTAATGTTTTCCTCAAAACTTTAGCCAGATATCCTGAAAAATAAAACATTTGCTTTCAAAGATTCTGTTGCTGAAAAACAGCTGGGCCACTGACCTATGTGTATTTAGTCAGCTTGAAAGAGTCAGTTTAAAAAGGACTGTCTTCCTTGCAATCAGTGAACTGTAGGTTCACTCCATTTTCCCCCCTCAGATTCAGGAACTTGTGGCTGAAGGGACCTTAGAGGTCATCCAGTCCAACTTCTAGCTATCCAATGAAAGATCCCTTGTTTAGTATCCCAACACGTGGGCCATAAAGTCTCAAAATACTTCCAGTGATTGAGAATTTGTCACTTTTTGAGGCAACTCATTCCACTGTAATTGTAATATATTTCTTGTTCAAAGGAGCCAAAATCTGCTTTCCTGTCATTTCTACCCACCAGTCCTAGTTCCCCTGGACAATCTCAAGAAATTCTTATTAATTCTTTAATATGAAAGGCCTTCAAATATTTGAAAACAAGTATCTTTTGAAAACCACTACAATCAAACCCCATTCTACCTCCAGCCCCACTTTACACCACTCATATCCCAGTTTCTTAACACCTCCACGTATCACATGATTTCCAAGCACCTCCTTCCAACTGCTCACTAACTAGTAGCTAATGCCCATCTTAAAATCTGGCCTTCTGGGCATTATCCAATTATAAATGCAATCCAAGGTTACATGAACTTTCCTAACAGCCCTGCCACACACTGGCCATGCTGAGCATGCAGTCCAACTAAAATTCCCAAATCTTCTTTCAAGAATGCTGTCACCTGGCCAGGCGTGGCTCAGCGGTTTAGCATCGACCTAGGATCCAGGAGATTGGGGTTCGATTCCCGGTCAGGGCACATGCCTGGGTCGTGGGATGCAGCCGATCAATGACTCTCTCATCACTGATGTTTCTCTCTCCCTCTCTCTCTCTCTCTCTCCCCCCCTCCTTTCCTCTCTCTGAAATCTATAGATATG